TTCTTATGGATTAACAAGTAAGTAAAGACAGAACTAAATTTGAATTAGAAATGCTTTGACCAATAGAACTAAGTAATACTTTGGCTGCCTTGTAGAATACAGCAGTCCTTGTAATTATCAAGGTCTCATAAATCTCTAGATTCACAAACAAACAAATGTTATAAGCTTTCCTAGCCATCTTTCAATCTCATTTCTCTGATCATGATATTTATTTTTGGTGGCATCTTTTGGGAGTCTTTGAAAGAATTGACTTCCAGGGTAATTTAAAGAAGTAGATTGGAATTGTAAGACTCAATAACAAACAGAACTTTTTTTCTTTTCAGTTTAGGCAGGAATATTTAGATACACTCTACAGATATGCAAAATTCCAGTATGAATGTGGGAATTACTCAGGAGCAGCAGAATATCTTTATTTTTTTAGAGTATTGGTAAGTAGTTTATTTTTTTTTCCTTTGTTTTCTCTTTTGTAGGATTCCCTTATTTTCTTGTAACATGTCTATAAATTTGGGTTTGTCCATTAAGTTTTCAACTGTTGTTGGCAAAGGAGAAAAGAAAACAAAAAAACAGAAACAGGAAACCTTAGGGCCTCGAAGAAGGAGATTTAATTTGTCCTTGTTTTATGTATAATTGTATGATTTTTAGCATTAGCAGAATTCTAACATGTAATGATTTTGTTGTTATTATAATGTTACAGCACAGTGTAAGTACACATGTAGATACTTAATCAATATTACTGAATAAGTCTGTTATTCCTTGCTTTAATTTAGTCTTTTATACTTGTGCTAAACACCTGTGGAATCCTAATGGTATTTAAAATATTTTATGACTTAATAGTAACTTTTTTCTATTTATCTTTGCCCTCAGCTATTGGAATATAAAGATCAATGGCTTTTTGATTATGTAGGGTGTAGATGAGTTCAAATGAGTATTAACCATAAAGTACCCTGTTACTGTCATTTGTCTATTTGACAAGTTTATAGATTTGGTGCTTTCGTTAGGGAAGGAGAGTTGTGTGAAGCCAGATTAAAAGTCAGGCCTCCAAACTGACATACTTCTTTGGCATTCTGTCTTCCATTTAGATAATTGTAATAAGTGTCTTCTAGACTTGTCAAAATATTCTTGTTTTAACTAGCCTCTCATTTGAGAAATTATAATTTGTTATTTAACTTGGATTAGTAAGCAAGTATTTAAGTCTCTGATTTCCCTAGTTAATCCTAGGGGTTCAAAAAAGACTTTTTGTCTTCCAACCTTGGAAGAATTTGTTTCTTTTGTCTTTATTTTCTGGTGCTTTTTTCTTCACTTTTAGCTCCACATGCCACACACAAAAAAAGACTTATGTCTTGCTGTCTTTGGTTATTTTCTAGGAAATTAATTTTCCTTTTGGTGGGAGGGAAAGATTTGTGTTAGATTCAGGTAATTCCTACACTGAAATTGCATTAACAACTTCATTTTTTAAAACTATCCACCATCTCTCAAAGAAATAAAGATTTTCTGTTTATTTCCAACTTTGATTTGAAAAAATTATTTTTCTCTTGTTACCATTTGTAGATGAATTCTTAATTTACCAATTAGCTGTGGTTAGCTTGCAAGTGCATGGAAGGTAATCAGTGATGCTAAACTTGTAGTGACTTATCGGAAAATTCCATCAGTTTTACTTTGAATATTACAAGAGATTTAGGAGAGCAAAAGTTGATTACTTTGGAAATGTAAACAGCTTAAACCAGGATTGTAAAATCAGAAGCCCGGTATGATTACAGGTGCTTGAAAAGAGTTGGTTATTCATATCATTTGTTAATGCTGGGAGTGAATTTTGAGAATGAAGATTTAGTGTCATGTTAGAGTTCCAGCACAGTAAATTTATTGTTGTTGGTCGGTGAGTGACTATGCCATTTTGCTAAGACATGGAAACTGAAGGTAACTGCTGGAAATCCAGATATTGAAATGCTTCTAGCATATCCACCCTTGAAAGCAAGTCGGTATGAAGAGCCAACTGTAATGACATGGAGTTTAGCCAGAGTAGTATACATGAACCTTTTGAGGATTAAGAAACTTGCTGCACTGCAACAAAAAGCTTTTATCCTAACACATGTAACACATTCTAGTTTTAATAGTATCATTATGTTTATGTAATATGGCTTTATAATCTGAAAATTTCTATAAGTGATAGGTATAT